CGCCATAGACTCCAAAAACATTTATGGGGAAACCAAACACCCAATCTCAAGTCGTTCGTCTAAAAGGACAACAGACAATCGAACCAAACTATATTTTGCCATGTAAAGCTAACTTAAACCAAGTTAGGAATGGAAAAATAGTTTGGAATGCCCTTCTATAGGTATAAACCCCCTATAACCACCCTTTTCAGCATGTTCCACCCCTTAACTGGTAGTTGTAGCTGTTCCCAATCATAATAGCTTACACACCAGGTGCATATAGGTTAAGGCCTTATGTAAATTCCCATTCATAAGCCCACCTTAAACCGCATAATTGCATGACACATTGAACCAGAACGGCACCGACTGGACGTCACCCAGAGACGACCTTCGCTGGAGGAGACCTGCAATCCTGACGTTGGTCTCCACTCTTCATCCAGTGGCCGCATCTTCAGTTCAATCAAGGGAACCCCTCTGTATGCTGATCAATCAACACCTCCATTCGTTGTTGATTTACCGTTGTGGATTATATGACTTTTTCCAATGGATTACAGACTTTTTTTCCAAGGGGTTAAAGCATTGCTACAATGGATTTACCAACAACATTATGGAATTACCAACAACACAATGGAATTACCAAAACATTGTGGTATTACCTCCTTTGACTTTTGTTTTCCTTGCTGGATTACATCAAGCTCAAGGACATTCGAAGGCGTAAGTTCATGTTGGAATTCATCCCCATGGACAGGCGATGATTTCCAAAGGGGGGACTGTAGTGAACTAAGCCTCAGGTCAAAATCTGGCCCTGAGGGCCTTCCTGGGACAAGAACTGTTATTTCATTGATTTGAGTCCAGAAACACAAATTAAGTTCATCCAGAGACTTTCTAAGTGTGTCTTGCACTGATCAATTGAAAGAACACTCTCTTTTTTATTATCATTACTATTTTACAATGTCTTGATAATCAAAAGTGTGTTTAGTTCAAACCATTTTAAATGTTGAAGTGAACTACTCATTTTAAATCAACTGTGAAACAGTATAAATGATTTTTAATCCTCATTCAAAGTAGAAATCAAGTTAATGTTTGTTACAAGTGTAATTATGCATTTTTTGATCTTCTGTCTGAAATGAGCAAGTCGTGATGTGGGTCAGAAGTCAAGTTTCGGTCAAAAACATGTTTATCGGAACGAAATGTCATGTTTAACTTTTTCAGACAGATAGAAGGAAAACGGCTCCTAAAAGTCTCTGTTCTTCAAAACATCTTTCTGTCTGTTCTTAAAACAATCTACTCTTTCTCCTTGACTTTTAATGACCCTCTTATGTCCTAAGACCACACCCCTGTTGGTTCTTTCAACCAATCAGGAAGTTCTCAGAGGAATCGGAAGTGACCTCTTTAAAAGGGTCAACACTTCCTAGTTCCAGCAGAACAACGGGAACTACGCAGAACAAAGTTCCAGAAGGAAGAACAAAGTTCCGAGTCTCGTGGGGATTATGGAATCTTCCACATCTGA